CACACACACACACACACACACACACACACACACACACCGTCTGACTGTATCTATTTGTCCATCTCTCTGCCTCCTCCTGCTTCCTCTGTTCTTCTTTTTCAGCATCGCTCATCCTTCTTCCTGTGTTGTGAGACAAACAAGTTCCGATAAATTTCTGCTAGGGAGTTCCCGCCGTATGCCGTGCGCTTTGTCTTGTCTTGCAATGGAAAAATCATAAATATTGTGTCCTGCTATTATTATCTTTTTTTAGTTTTCCCCTTTTGTTTACCCTTCTGTTTTCTCCTTCTGTTATCCCTTTTCTCCTTTTTGTCCCGCTTGTCGTCAGCATTTCCTTTTCTGGGAAGAGTTCTTTGTCTCATTGATCAGTGTCTGTGGATTTTTTAAAACAGGGGTGTCTTGCATTGCATTGTTTTGTGCCATGCCTCTACCGGAGTGCAGTTGGACATGAAAGAGTTGGTGTCTCATCTGCATTACACAATTTCTGCTTCTGATTTTGTTGAATCTATCAAGTTATAAATTATAACAGTTTATATTTGCAGAAATGTGGTCTTTACTTTGGTTGATGCAACAACCCAGGAAGGGTATGGATGGCCACTTAGCAGAGGCTTTCCAAGGCCATCATGCAATCTCCAGCCTGACTACTCTTTTTTTCTTTTTTTCCCCTTTGCTCGTGTATATAATATATTAATAATTCTGTAAACAATGATAAACATGATTAGGACCCTGAACCCTGAAAGGTTTTTGCAAGATGTGCTTCTGCAGTTGGGACTTGTAGAGGAGGAGGAGGAGGAGCAGGAGGGGAAAAAATAATAATAATAATAATAATAATAATAATAATAATAATAATAAAAAGAAGAAGAAGAAGAAGAAGAAGAAGAAGAACGAGGAGGAGGAGGAGGAAGAAGGCAGGGTATGGATGGTCACTCAGCAGAGGCATATAAACTTTTATTATGAAGGCCGCGTTGATTATGCCTTTTCTTTTCCCGTTGTCACCTTGGACAGGATGCACGGTCATTATTACTATATGTATTGCACCAAATACAGATACAATGATCGGGCGTTCTATTTGGATGAAGGAGGGTTTTTTTCTTTTTTTTTTTAAGATAGTAGTTTAAGTGAGGTGGTACTGTCAGAACCCTGAAAGTGAAAAATAAAATATAATAATATATGCCTGCAGAAGAAGAAGAACAAGTCAAGAAGACGACCCAGAAAATGCAGCGAAAGAAAAATGCGCGAAAGGGCGTGATATGGATATGTTCAGGAAAGTGGATGGAGGGAAGCCATTTGTACCCCGCTACTCGGCGCTACTCGTTTGCCAGAGAAAACAGACACATGGGGGGGGAACGAGGCCGGCTCCGCAGAGACCCCTGAGAGAGCAGTGGAAAACCATGGGTCCTCGCGAAGCAACTCTGGGCCTCGTGCATGGCACCAGTATAAGTTCTTGCTGTGAGGGAAAAATGCAACCCGCGCTTTGCATATTTGTTCCGTAGCGCTCGCCGTTCAGCGATCGGTCCTCAGAGAATGTGGCCAGATACACCGGGCAGCATGGTCTGCATCCTTTGCCTTATGATGGAACTATTCGCAACACTGAAATTGTCGAAGTTCACAGCCATTTGTGTGTTTAGCGCTGTTTATTGATTAGAAATTAGAATGGCATTGTGGAAGCTCACATGCAATGGTACAAAAGAATAGCTGTTAGGAATAGCTTTGCCTATTTTGCTCTGCATCCTCTGCATCGTGCGAATATCGCACTCTGTAGTCTAGAGTTGCTCGTGGGAAGTGAGTCGTACATAGTATGGGACAGTCCTGACTGGTGCGATGTTGATGGCTAGAAACCATGAACGGGGCTGGAAAAGTGGCCAGGTTTGAGCTTTGTTAGGGTGTGAACACAGCTCCAGTGGCCCTTAGTGCTAACAATTGTGACCCTCCACGCTTTGGCAAAACTCCAGCAGTCGTGCTACACGAATATGTGGGTGCTGTATATCCCTGTGTTCTTGCAAAATACCCATGTCAATACTCGCTTAAAGCACTGGTACCTCTGCCAGTGTTGGGAAATTAGGGAAACGGGCTGTTCCCCAGAGTTCGGAGGTCGGGCCCGACAACGGCTGGCTGTCATTGATAAATCAAACCGGCGGCCGTCGTTTCGTTTCAGCCCTTCTAAAATGTCGGAGGCCCACCTGAGGCCTGCTAATTGCCCATTCGGCAAAGGCACTACCGTCTTCCCCCGAACATAATGCACCCTGAAATTGAATGTACGCAAGCTATATTTCCGGCCCGGTGCAGCCAAGATGAGGGTGCGTTGTGTTCAGGGGAAGATGGTATTGGTTTGGCTAAAAACCATGAACCTGGTGCGAACAGTGGGCAGGTTCGTGCTTTGTTAGCTCATGAACATAGAACCGATGGGTTCCGGCACTAGCAATCGCAATTCGTCCATGTTGACAAAACTCCAGTCCAGCGGTCATGCTGCCTGATTATGTGGCTCCTATGCTGCTGTGTTGTTGCAACACGGCGGCCCGGCCGCCGGCCGGGGGTTTTGTTGATCTATATAAGGAAGTGTTCTGGCAGCAAGCGTGCCTCATGGCCGTTCTTTGGAAAGTGCATGGCACCCTCATAATGGAGCACCAAACGCCAAAAGGAAGACGATTGTCCTTGCTGACGTCAGGGGCAGTTGAATTGGGGGTTCCACCTAGAGTGCACAGGAGACTATGAGAGGACTGTGAGCTCCTCTGAAGATGGGAGGATGATCTGGTAGAGAAGAGTCGAAACAATCAGTCGAAACAAGAACTCCCCCCCCCCCCCCCAAAAAAAAAGGGAAAAAAAAAACAAGACCATTACCTCGGAAATGAAACGTTTGGTGGGCCTGGGTGTTGAAGAGATACAATCACCCCCTACATAACAGTGCATGTATTATACCAGTTTTTTTTTTTGTGTCCCCCCCCCCCCAGGAAAATCCAGTTGCTCGCTAGGAGAGGCGATAAGAGCACCCCCTCCTAGCGGAACTCCTGGATGCTCCAGTCCATTGCTGGGGGGGGAGCAGCACCTGCTGGAAAACGGGTACAACTGCAGGCGATAAGAGCACCCCCTGTGCTGTATGTCACAGTTAGGCACCAAGCCTTTTTTTTTGTTTTTTAGCAGTTACTGCTTTTAAATTTTCATCTGCGCTGGGGAACGCAGGAAGGCTTCTCCGCTGCTGTGGCATATGACGATGAAAAAAAATGGAGTGTGCAAGCGCAACGCAGAGAAAGACGAGCCCAGGCAATTGACGCACGTCTGTCAGAAGATGCAGAACATGATTTACGGCCACAACACTCAGAATGCAAACTTTAAACTATGATGAAGAGTACATGTTGCAGGAAAACTTGAGAAAATATAATGCAATCCGCGCATGCGGAAAAGTTTTGAGGCGTCTTGGGGCTATCGGATCGAAATAAGAATAGACAATGCAAGAATGAGTACTAAAGTCTGCTAAAAGTTCAGTCTTGCTGGCTTAGTGCCTTGCTCCACTTTTCTTAGCTCTGTGGAAGTAGCATGCTTTTTGAACTTTTTTCATTAAATTAAGATAAGAAGAAGAGTCAGAAGACATTATTTTGTCTCATTTTGGACACCGCACCGCAAAATCAGGGCTCAGGAAGGTGTAAAAGTGTGGCAGGCCTAGGTTCGAAAAAGCGGTGGAAGCCTCACAATCTTTATCAACCGGTGGACACGTTTGTGTTTTGTGATGGTCGTTTCTTTAGCAAGGGTGTACGACTTTTGGAGACGCTCCTCTGTTCTCGAAAGGCGTGAAACCCATTTCATAGCTCAGGATGTGGTACCCACCTTTCAGAATCATAGCTCAGGATGTGGTACCCACCTTTCAGGGCCCGGAAAGGGGTGCAAGCGTCACAGGCCCGGGTTTGAATAGGGGTGCAAGCCTGACAAGCCGGTGAACGTGATGGCGCAATGGCTGCTGCCGGCGCTAGCAAAAAAAAAAAAAAGCTTGAGCAAAGCTCGCCACTCAGGGGGAAGTTCCCGCAGGAACAGGTTTCCCTCCTCACAGACATCGGCAATCAAGGCGATGGAAATGCATCGAGTCGAAGTATCAACGCTTGTAACGAAGGCAATGCACATGCATCCACTTGTTGTTGTAGCGATTTCATAATTGAACAAGTCCCAGTCTATTATGTTCGATATGAGAAAGATTGGATTCACAACCGCGGTTATGCATAATCATCACAATTGAATCACTAACGCCTCCGACTCAAACATGACTCAGACAGAAGCAGAAATGGAGAGGGAGACAAAGCTGAAAGACAAGCACCAGCACGCAAATGTGCGCCCGGAAATTGAGGCCCTGTCCAATCATCCAATTTTGTTTTGTTCAGTAGCGCTAGCTTAATTCAAATTTTAGTGACTTTCTAGTACCCATCGCCGCCGCCTTTCGGGGTTTCCTTAGGGACCGATTCGCTCTGCGTAAATTGACTGAACGCACAAACCCTGAAACTTTTGGCGGTCATGTTTTTCAAATTTTCACCTGATTTTTTGTTACTCATGTCAGCATTCTCACTTCTGATATCTCCAGCTCTTTTCACAAACAGCCTTCTTCAACTTTTTTGCCACATACGTGGGTTCGGTACACTCCCGGTTGTCATCGCCATCGAGTCCTCGACCACGCTTCCCCTTCACTGCGCTCCGTTCCCCCGGTCGAGCAACCTGTGCCGTCACTCTGCGCAGTA